TCGTAAGTTCCAGGAACTATTTCTGACCTTCTAATGGCATTGTCGCATTCGTTATACCATTCGGAAACATTTCCATTCATAGCATCCAAAACTGTTGGCGTTATATTCTGAGCGGCGTACATTTCATATGAGTAAAAATATAGAATAGTTGGATTTATATGTCATAATAGAACCCACGTGGACCAAGCTTTACTTTCTTCCTGACTGAGTTTTTAACTCTTCTTTTTCCTTCATTGCCCTCTGCTTGAAGTTGTTGCATCTTTGCATTATGTTCATCTAGTATGTTGCAAATTTCCCATGTCCTTTTTGCCTTTTGGCTCTGGTCGCCCATCTCAGGTAACCTATATCCTAGAAAGAGTTTGTCATAGTCTGTATTTGAGTCTTCGCGTATTGTTTGCATGACTCTTTCCTGAGTTTCCGGTTCAAGCTCTTCAAACAGTGCCTGTCCATATGGAATAAGCTCGTTTCCAAATATATGTTTTTGTAGCCATTCTGGTTTTCTTTCCATGTTACCAACTATATCTTTTGTGAATGGGAAAGCTTTTACCCAATCTTTCAGTCTTGCGTCGTTTATTTCTGTAGTTGGTTTTATTTTGTCAAGGAACATGTTTTTCAATACTAACATTTCATTTGGTACTGTCCATTTGAGTTTTCTTAAATATTCATCCCTTCTCGTTCATTGTCTGCAAAGTAAGTTTTTATGACATTTTGTAAACTTTCGTTTGCAAGGTCATGTACAATAGGTTCTCTTCCTTCTCTCTCCCTAACTTTCTTTCTAAACTCTTCACCAAATATACCATCTCTATGGTTCTGTGTAGTTCTTTGAGATAAATGTTCTAGAACGTCAGGTGTTATATTTCCATCAGCCATGTTCATTTCATACTGGTCCAAAATATCTGCATGTTTCATATCTTTCAATGGCATTAAAGCCGCGCTTGAAAATACCAGCTATATCTGGTTCACCATTGACTTCCATTGCGTCTACAACTTCTTGGAATTGTGGTTGTAAGTTTATGAACCACCTATCCGGATTAGCTTTATGACCCCATCTCATTGTAGTTCCATCGTCTGCAGAAACAAAAGTAGGTTTGTTTCCATCTTGGTTAGGTTCTGAATGAACTTTAAACAATGTTTCATTTCTATATGTTTTCTTGAAATTTAACCTTTTATTTTCACCGAGTTCATCCGAAGATTGAACGTTAAATGCTCGTAAGTAAAAAGGGTTGTTGTATTTGTGTACATTTTTTTCAGTTCTTCCATTCTATGCTGGATATTTTCATCTGATGTTGGAGTCTTTTGTATGTCGGCAAACATTTTTCGATATTCTTCTACTATGTCAGCCGAATTTTTTTTAGACTCTTGGAAATATTCCATATTCTCCGCATACTCTTGTTGAGGGTCAAGATTTTTCGGCTGTTCCAAATCTTCATCTAGTTCTGTGAAGTTAGTTTCCAAAGGAAGGACTTGTTCGTTTCCTTCAGGCTCTTCTAGCTGTTGTTGCTGAACTATTTCTTCCATGTCTGGTTGTATCTGAACTTCTTCCTGTGGAGTTTCTTGTACCTCATCTGCTGGCATTTCATATATTCCGAGACCGTTTTCAACAATTTCCCTATCTACGTCATCCGCATTCATAAGCTTTTGTTCTTTCGTTCCGTCTCTATTTTTTACGCGTTTCATGACGAAAGTTGAATTGTCATTTAGCTCTGACATCAAATATCTCGGAGTAAATTCATCCATGTCATTTGGATGATATGCTATTAAATCATATCCCTTAGCGAGCTTGTATTTTCCAGGTTTGAGATTATATCCGTTTTGGTGCTGAGCCATAAAGCTAAATAGGTTCGGGTCAGTATTTCCATCCTTGAACTTTCAATAGCTTCTTTATATCTGTCACTAAAGTCAACAGTATCTGGGAAACCACACTCTTCTTTAAGCATTTTTAAGAATTCTTGGTTTCCTTGTTCTCTACTTCTTTTATGTCCTTGCTCTGTTTGTGGTTGTTGTTGTGCAGGGTTTTGAACTGTTGGTTGCTGTGCTGGTTGTTGTGTTGGTTGTTGTGTTGGTTGTTGTGTTGGTTTTGGTGCATGCCTGTGTCTGTGTCCATGTGACGATGTAAATGTTCTAGGTAGTCCTGGTGCAGGTGCTTCTCTTGGAGGGTTTGGTGGTATATAAGTTCCACCAGCTGGCACATATGTTCCATCTGCAGCGTAATGTCCTACCTGACTTTTCGTTTTTAAGAAAGCATTTACTAGGTCTGTTTTGGTCTGTTGTAACTCTTTTTCTTGACTTTTCACAACAGTTGCTCTAACGGCGTCATAGGCACTTTGAACTGCCTGTCTCGTTGCTGCATCTGTTATTTTCGTCATATTTTGTGCTACTTCTTTTAACTCTTTGTCGAAACCTTCAGACTTCAGTTTCTTTCCAGATGAGAAGTCGTTCACTTGTTTCACCTTACTATGAAGAGCTTCGAAGGCGTTCTTAAAGTCAGCATTTGTTAAAGCTTCATTTGAACTGTCTTCATCCGCTTGTATTTTTGTCCTTATTGACCCTATGAGTTGGGCTGCTTTAGCGTTGGCTTGGGCATCTAACCAGTCATTGTTAGCTTTTATATATTCTGCGCTTTTCATTGCCTTTTGCATAGCCGCGTCGTTATTTTTACTTTCTTGTGCTAAGTTTTCATACTGTACGGTTTGGTTTTGCAACTGTAAAAGTTTTTCTGCCTTTACATTTGCTTCAACTTCTTTTTTATACTCATCGCTATCCATATATGTCTTCAGGGCTTTTTGTTTTATCTCTTCATCTTTCAGTTTTATATTGAGTAGTATGGTTTTTCAAATTTATGACATCTTGTTCCATTTTTGCTACTTCTGCTGCTTTTTCTGACACTTTTTTCGCATATTCCTCTGTACTTAGTTCTTTCAGTTGTTCTTCTTTCTTCTTTTTCTCTACGTTTAACTCATTTAGTTTCTTTGTGTGTCTGTCATATTCTAGTTTCTTTTCGTTTTCACTTATTTGTTTCTGTATGTCTATGTTTGACTTTTTGACATCTGTTATTTGATTTTTGAGTGAACTCAAATTCATTTGACTTTGAGGGTTATAGCTGTTCCGTCTGCAGCTCCACCATAGCCTGCCATTTTCGCTAAAAGTGCCGCTCTTAAACCTCCACTCTGTGCACCAATAACTCGGTTTAAAAGCATAGGGTTGCTTGACATTTGTTGCAACATAGTGGGGTCATTCATCATTTGTTGTTGCAACTGTTGTTGTGGTGTCAGTTTTACTATTGGATGTTTCAATGCTCTCTTCCTCTTACGTATATTCTTACGTAGCTTACGTGGCATTTTAAGTGAAGTTAAAAAGCGGTTTTTGACAGATGTTTATATGACACTTTTTGTTCAGCACAAAAAACTACTCGGTCAAAGTGTTGTCAGTTTTGTAAAATAACCGTCCTATCTCATTCTATAAGGGGGAAAGGCTTCTCAAAGTATACTTCCTTGGAACGCCTGTAACTTTTCCTGTAGCGACGATAGACCCTTACTTGTCCGGACAAAGTTATACTATTTTGAGTGTTCTACAAAAAAGTCAACAGCGACGACTCTCAAAAACGTTTATAGTTCATTCAATATTTGAGATGGAACGGTTTGCCAACGGTAACTATTAAATAAAATAAAAAAATAGAGGGGGTTACCGTTGACGAAAACGGTTTATTTTAAACTTTTCTATGAGTAGTCCGAAAAAAACAGTTCATTTTTGTCTAATGTACGCGTCTCGAACAGTGAAGCCCAATTCAATAGAATACTATCTCGAAAAACAAGAAGCTGACACTGCTATTCAGTCTTTAATACAGAACCAAGCTCAGGAGAACTCAAAAGACTCCCAATTCAAATCGACATCCAATTCGAAGCAATTAAAACTTGACACGAATGTTTTAAAACCACAGCCCGCACGAACAAATACAGCTCTAAGAATAGACCAAAGAATACCGAACAAAGAGTTGAGGTCAAGATTGAAATTACAATCGGATGAGTATTTTTCCCTTAACAACCAGGGAAATACTCCATATAACCGTATCTACACAAATACCGTTAAAGAAACAATAACGGCATACACAAAACTCTGTCAATTGGTCCCCAACCAGGACCAATTGACGGACATTATATGTTCCTACCTTCCCATATTTGCTGAGTGTGTGGAAGGTAGGACATTGTTACAAGCTTGCTTACGTATGCCACCAAATCTCCGTCAACAATTTGCTCAAATTGTACATGAATTTAAAGCTTTTAACAACGGATACGATGAAGATGAAGTAGCAGATGAATTTGGGGAAGAAAAAACATTTTTCCCCTCATATAATACGCCTGCAACAGTATTTCCTACTAATGAATTTCACAACTATTGTGTCGTTCATTTAATTGTTGTGGATATGCCCACAGGTGAAGACATTCTCAGTGGTGACTTCATCGAAGTCTGTATCAATACAGAATTGGGAGAAGATGAGTTGCACAAATTCTCCTACGTCGAACATATATTCAAACCAGCACACCAACTCTTTATCGAAACTGAAATAACACTCACACAAAATATGTCCATCTCATTTAAATCCAAATCAGGACGTCCATACAGAATTTGGATGAACTACGTCCTCCTCCACTACGCCGACGATGACGAAGAAGAGGAAGAAGAGGAGGAGGAAGAAGAAGAGTCCTCCGAATTCACACCAGAAGACTAACAATTTTCCGAATAAAAACTTCATTTATACTAAACATCTTCGGGGCTAGAAGGGGCGCAGCCCCTGGAAGCCCCACTACCTTTTTTTTTTTTTTTTTTTTTTTTGTTCTTATTTTAATCAAATTTTTCTCACAAACACGACATTTTTTGTAAAGTTCACAATAATGTGGATCATTTTAATCGTCTTAAATACATCGAAATAATAGCCCACAGGATACAAGTAAATTTTTATAAAAGTTGCTCACATTCAATTTTTTAAATATTCAATTAATACAATGTTTCTTGGCTCGTTTTTCTTGTCATCCTTGCTGAACAAGGAGATCAAATATAATAGTGCTAACTATGATTTTTCAAATAATATACTCCATATATTTGGAGATGGCTCAGTTGATGCTGAAGCAACAAAAGAATATAAATCTAAAACAAACGAGGTATATATCAATGAGTCAGTAGAGGAAATTGGCGATTCAGCATTCAAAGACTTCGTCAACCTTCAGAAAGTTGAAATAACTTCAACAATGAAAATAATTAATTCTTATGCGTTTTCTGGATGCAATAATTTAGTAACTATTACAATTCCAGATACAGTTACTGAATTTGGTGATAGCATTCTTGAATGATGCCATAAACTTCAATTAAATACTTTGCCAAGTTCATTAACAACTATTGGAGATGGTTACTTCACAGAATGCATATCGTTAACAGAAATAACAATCCCTCAAAGCCTCCATAGACTGGAAAGTGGAACATTTACAAGTTGTATCAATCTAAAAACAGTAAATTGGCATGATAACATTACATACATTGGCTGGTTCTGCTTCCAGAACTGTACAAGTCTCGTTGTCACAGATTGTCCGAAATATATGAATGAATTAGGTCATAACGCGTTTTGTGGCTGCACATCATTGAAAACAATCACATTATATGATGAAGTCGAGATAATTGATGATTACGCATTTGCAGACTGCACAAACCTTCAAACAATCAATTTTACAAATAATTTGATGACAATTCACAAATATGCGTTTGAAAACTGCAAATCACTGGTTATCACAGAGATTCCTGATAATGTTATTACAATTAGTGAAGGTGTTTTCAAAGGTTGCTCATCAATTACAAAAATTAAAATTTCAGATTAAGTAACAATGTTTTTAGACAGACTTTTCATGGATTGCGTCAACTTAGAATCAATTGAATTCAGTCCAGATTTGATGCATTTAGCTAACAGTGTTTTTGAGAATTGTTTGAAATTAACTTTGGCATTTATACCAGAAAAAGTATCAGGCATTGGTACAAGAGTGTTTTACAACTGCCAGAGTATAACAACAATGTTCTATCCATTAAACAAAGTAGAAACCGAACAATTTTACAATTGTAAATCTCTCAAAAAATTGATTTTGAAAGAACAATTACTTCAAATCAGAGATTACGGTTTTTACGGCTGTGAAAGTTTAGAAAACATTGACATTGATTATCATTTATCTACATTAGGAAAGCATGCGTTTGAAGGCTGTAAATCATTGACATCTGTTAATTTGTCCGGATATATTACATATCTTAATGAATACACATTTAAAGACTGCTATAGTTTAGAAGTTGTTAATATTACTGAAGATGGATTATCAGGAATATATGATGGAGCATTCCAGAACTGTTACAAACTTGTAAGTATTAATCTTCCAACAGAATTAGGAAGATTAGGAGATGCAATTTTTGTAAATTGCACATCACTTAAAAGTTTGATTCTTCCTGATGGATTCGTTCAAATTCCTGAGAGAATGTTTGAAGGATGTTCCAGTTTCTGCGAATTCAACTGGACAAGGCCATTTGATCAAATTTCTTCTCGCGCTTTTGCAGGAACAAACTTTTCATCAATTGTTTTCGAGAATTCATTGAAAGGATTGTATGAAGATGCTTTTGATGACTGCAACAACCTCAAATCAGTAACATTTCCATTCCAAGACATGGAATACACAAGATCTCCATTTTCTAAATGCAAGAATTTAGAAAAAATTGTTTTGGTTGATACAATTCATTTCATAACAACAATTCAAAACAATTTATTCGGAAACTGTCAAAATGTCAAGGAAATTATTGTTGATTCTGTTTATTTGGATGTAATTGAACCATTGGCTTTCGTTAATTGTTTCAATCTTGAATCAGTTTCTTTGACAAGTAAAGCTAAAAATTTGACAGTTCCAAGCGGTTTATTCAATACTTCACTTCATCTTTCTAACCTTAAAATCAACTGTTCTCTTTTGGTTTTAACGGATGAAACATTTAAGAATTCACAAAGTTTAAGTTCTGTCACTTTTTCAGTTGAAGAAATTAGTTTTGGAAAGAGTTTATTCGAAAATTGCAGCTCGTTGAAGAGTTTCGAATTCAATTTCAAGACAGCTGATCTTCCTTCAAAGTTGTTTAACGGTTGTTCATCGTTAAGTGAAGTGAAGTTAAATGGTGAAATCAAAGAAATTGGTGATCATTGTTTCCACAGTTGTGTTTCACTTGAAACAATTAAATTAACAGGAAAACAGCTCAAAATCGGTCCACACTCATTTTGTTCATGCTACAAATTAAATAATGTTAACATTAATTGTGATTCTGTCACTTTTGACAATTATTGTTTCAATCAATGTCAAAAATTGTCAAATTTTGATTTGAATACACAAAATATTTTGTCAATTGGCCAATGCTCATTCTTTAACACACCATTTGACAGTTTACATGTCAAAGGTGATTTGACAAAAATTGGAGAGATGTCATTTAAATCATCTCACATCAAGAACATCGAAATCGAAACAAATAATGATATAATTATTGGCGCTCATTCATTCTGCGAATGTTTAGATTTAGTTTCTGTCAAAATCACTTCTAAATCAATTATTTTTGATGATTATTGCTTCAATCAATGTCAAAAATTGTCAAAGTTAGATTTGACAGAAAGTAAAGTTACTTCAATTGGAAATTACTCCTTCTACAATACATCATCATTAAACATCGATTTGAATTTGAAAGGAGATATTAAATTCATTGGAGAATGCTCATTTAAGTCTTCGATGATTTCCAAATTGATTTTAGATACAACACAAGATTTAGTTGTCTCTAACCATTCATTCTGTTCTTGCATGAACTTAAATGAATTTACAACAAAAGGAAATGTAATTTTGAATTCATTTGCATTCCATAACTGTCAGAAATTGTCACTTTTCAATTGTCTCTCTGTTTTATCTCTTTCTACAGCATCATTTGCAAACTGCTCGATGCTTTCCAAGGTTGTTATAAAGACAAACATCATTCCTGACCATGCTTTCGAAGGCTGTGAAAAATTGTCAGATTTTACTTTCGCAGAAAACGTGACAAAGTTCGGTGATTATTCATTTTATAAGTCAGGAATTGAGAAAGTGAATGTATATAGTTCTATTACAATGTTTGGAAATTATGTTTTCTCTAATTGTGCTAAACTTTCCAGTGTCAAGATTCTTTCAAATCATTCTGACTTTGGAAACTCTGTTTTCGAAAATTCTCAAGAATTGAATGAATTCTATTACTGCGGAAATCAAACATCTGTTCCATCTAATGTTCTCAGTGGATGCTCTAAAGTAACAGCTGTTTATACATCTAGTAGTTTCAAGGATGAAAAGTTTGCAGGAATTGATACAAAACACTCTGATGTTTGCGGAAATGATTCAGACAACCAGAAATCAAAGACAGTTAAAATTGTTGTAATTTCATCAATAGCTTCATTGATTGTAGTGATCATCATTGCTATTGCAATTGTTTTTGCTTGCAAGAGAAGGAAACCATCTTCTGTTGCTCCTTCAACAATTCCACTCCTCACAAACGAGTAGAGATTTTTTATTTTTCATATTATTTAAAAAATAGAATTTTATATTTTATTAATTTTTTATTCTCTGAGCAAAGTACTCAAATGAGTAGGACTTTGCACAATTGATGGAAAACCTCTTATTAAATTTTCTAATTCTCCTTAAAATCCACTAAAGAGTACTCGACTTTGATATTTCAATTCTATTTTCTTACCCAATACCTAGTGGAATCTTACATTTAATAGCTAAAAAAGTGATAAAGAACATAGTAGTACTACTGTTGATTTTCATAATCCGGGTGACTTATTTTATTCATGATTACCAAAGTTTCTTTATATAAACTCCATATGTTTTTATCAAAAGTTTTATTGAAGTTATATCTTCAGATTTTAAATCGAAAAACTATGTTAAATTAAACTAAATAGATTGTATTAAGTTTATTCTTTCTTTGCCATGAATGCTTCGATCTCGTCGATCTCCTTTGGAATGTTGGAGAGGACTCTGCAGCCATCTTCAGTGATGTAGAGGTCATCTTCAATTCTGACACCTCCGACAGTCTTTCTGAGTCTTTCGCAGACTTCTCTGTTGATGTACTTAGACTTGACTGGGTCAGCGAAGGCAGCGTTGTAAGATGGGCGGATGAAGTAGCATCCCGGCTCATCAGTGATGACGACACCCTTCTGGAGAGTTCTGCCGTATCTTACAAATGAAGCATGTGGCTTATCTCCTCTGCAGGAACCGCGTGGCCAACCAGCGATCTCGTGGCAGTCAATGCCCATGCCATGTCCAAGTCCATGTGGGTAGAAGACTGCAAGAGCGCCGGCTTCAACAATTTCATCGACTGTTCCGTTCTGGAATAATCCGATCTTGAGCAAACCAGCAGCCATTACTTTGGCTGATTCGTAGCCAAGGTCTGGCCAGTAAACACCTGGCTTTGCATTAGCAATAACGTATTTGTGGCAATCTAAAACGGCTTGATAAACTCCGCGCTGGTCTTCTGAGAACTTTCCGTTAGCAGGGATTGTACGTGTGTTATCAGCAGCGTAGCAGTTGTATTCGCAGCCAGTATCCATAAGGATAAGCTCGCCATCATCAATAAATTTGTGGTTGTGGTGGTAATGGAGGATAGAACAGTTCTCGCCTGAACAGACAATGGTTGAGAAAGCATAACATCGACAATAGTGGTCGATGTAGTGCTTGGCAAGGTTGGCTTCAACTTGATATTCCCACATCTTTGGATGAACCATCTTGAATGTATCTCTTACGGCCAAGCTGTTGACATCGCAAGCGTACTGGATGAGAACCATCTCATCATCATCCTTGAATTGACGGAGTTCGCCAACAACATCGATGAACTCTTCCTTGTTAAGGAGGGCATCGTAACCTTTAAGAAGGCAGGTCTCTGGGAGTGTATGGATGTTCTTAAGCTTGTATTCTGCGAGGGTTTCCTGAATCTTTGGCATTAATCTGACGTCCTCGAAGCCGTATCTCTTCTTGACATCATCAATGGATGAGAGTTCACCGAACCAAATGATGTACTCCTGTGGAATGTCTGGGTAGAAAAGAATTTCCTTTCCTGTTTCGATATCGAGGAAGTAAGCGCAGTCAGCTTCATTGACACCAGTAAGCCAATAGAAGCATGATTCCTGACGGAAAACTGGTTCGAAATCGCAATGTGCGCGTGTTGGCTCTGGGAAACCGTAAATTAAGACAACACCTTCTAATTTGCGCTTTCTAAGCTCTGCAAGTGTTTTAGCACGGTGGGCTGCAAACATTTCCGGCTTTGGCATCGGGCGATTAGCTCTGTCAATCATTATTTTAAAGTGATTTGATTGTCAAAAAGATCAAATTTCAGAAAAAATTTGTTGATCGTTTGATCGGAAATGAGATTTATTCACCTTTTTTATCTTTTGGGGATACCTATTTATGAGCTATGATATATCAATTTGGGAGATCAAATTTAGAGTGGTCGGATGGAATTGTCACTTCCGAACACTCAAATGGGGCCGATTTTCATGGATCCTATACTAAGTCATGGAAAACATAATAACATGATAGTTCAACAAAATTTGAATTAAAATCCAGCCGAAGCTAACTCAAACGTGAAATAATTTCTTCAGAAAATATTTTCAATGCTATCAAAACGATGAGAATGAGAGATGAACCCCATTATGATCCCCTGAATACATATTTAAGGGATGGATAATATCCGAAATGGGTAAGAGTAGAAAAGTATACATCAAAGATTACATTGATTTCATGTTTCAAATATCAAAACAAGCTAGTATAAGGAATTGCATAAAGAAAAACGAGGGCAGTTGCCTATATATTTACCATTATATCCATCATTGCTCAGCATATTTTTGAAATACTTAATTATTTCTCTGAAACCATATATCAAGCTGTTTATAGAATTTTTGAGAGAAAATAAAAGATATCTCTTAGCAAAACACAACATTTATTGAACTATTTTTTGAATATGTTTCATGACTCTCATTGAAGACCCATAAATTCTTTGTATAGCCATTCATTGTCAAATTAATTAGTTTTTCAAAGAAATATGTGAAATATATTGCGTAAATTTCGGCATTGTTTATAAGTACTCATTCAGTTAAAGAAATTAGATTATCTGGTGAATTTGTGTACGCAAAAATTAAAACAAATTATAATATTCAATGTTATATAATGAGATTCACTGAATAATTAATGATGAAAATTATGTTGGGAAGAATTATTGTTATTAAACATATGGATATGTTAATTAATAACGATCAACTCTGCACGATATCGAACATATGCATGTGACACAGATATTGAACTTCCAGAGTCTTGATGACAACACTCTTTAATTGATAGACATAATAAATAGAAGTAGTCATATGAAAATTTTTATAGTTACACAAATGTAGTCAAATATGAATTAACAAATCAACGATAACAGATGGAAAACAAATTTATCTTGATGAAAATAAGAATGACTATCATTTGTGACAACCAGGATTAGAAATCTAATGTGAATTTGACTGTTTGTGCAGCTTAGACTATTGGGAAACGCAATATTTTTTCTCGGGAAATATTAAAATTCTCGAATAAAAATAAAATGAACTATTTCCTCAAGGATTATTAGAATACCGACAATCAATTAAATATTGAATTTTCATCATCTGATGCCTTTACAATTCTTATAGGCAAGCGTAAAAACGATAAAGTATATTTTGATCAAATGAATTATTTGCATACATACAGACTATTACAATATGATAAGATTTCTTAAAATTAATGAAAAAAGAGTTTTCTGAGAACTTTTGAGAATGGTTTTCAAATTCCATTATTGAAAATATATAGGTATTGTATGAAATTCAAACTCTATATTTATTAAAATTCTAAATTTTTAATAAAATAACTTTTCAGAGGAATATGATTTTGAATGGTTGATTAATAAGTATAAAAATGTCTACGATTTTAAGGAGGGAATTGTTCCTTATGAGGTATACATCATAACTATATACCTCATAAGGAACAATTCCCTCTTGATAGCTGGGAAACTTTCTCTGAATAACTTATCATTTGGAGAAAGTTTCCCAGCTATCTATTAGAAACTAAAGGCTATGAGGCACTAATATATAATCAGTGCCTCATAGCCTTTAGTTTCCTATTAAAAACGAGAAAACTTGTTCGAAATGATAAACAATTTCGAACAAGTTTTCTCATTTTAAGGAGGGAATTGTTCCTTATGAGGTATACATCATAACTATATACCTCATAAGGAACAATTCCCTCTTGATATCCTGGATATTTTTGAATATATTTTTTTAATTAAAGTTCTCAAAAGTATTATCAAAAGTGATTTTTTAAAAATATCTCCAATTAATTAACTAATTAAAAGTATTATATTTTTAAAATTAAATAGTTTTTCAATTTTTTTGAAGGAATTGAGATACTTCCCACGACAATAAAATTGAGAGGTTTACATTATGACTGATCTTAGCATGCAACAATAAAACCAATAACTTTTTAATCGATAGGGCTATCCACAAAATTGAAAAGGAAATTCAAAGGATTTGAAATTACAAAAATCAATCGTATTATACATTCTTAAGATAGAGATTATGGAAATTCTCTAAAATTGAAATTTTGCGATCGTGTATAATTTCTCAAAAATTAATCAAGTAAAAAAGTTCGAAATATATGATTTTCTGAGATAGGAAAAAATAAAGAATTGATTATATGATTTGAATCGTGATATTTGTTTTCTGAACAATTTTCAGATCTGTTTCAATTTTGTGATTGCGATCGCCGGTCATTGTGATCAATTTCGGAATGTATCATTTCTAAATTATATTGTATAGTACACGTTCTTCAACATTTTTTAAAAATTCAAAATGCCCAACATCCAAATCACGCTCGTTAATTATTTATCAAATACATTTGTAGATATCGAATTACCGATCATTAAAATTCAATGCCAACAATTTTAAGAAGAATCGATCAATTCATTTGAATGAATTTATTTGTTTGTACAATCACAACTATCCTGTATTTAATATTATCGACAAAAAAATATTTCCTTTCAAAAGTCTCCGAAAGCATAGAAGTGTTTTAAATCACTTTTAATGACATATTTAATATATACTATTTCTTTACTATTATTTCTACTACAAAAATCTTTATTGGCTGAAATCTCGATTCTCTCACAAAATTTGAGGGTTGATAAATTTAAATTATCAAGTTTATTTCCATTACAAAAAAATCATGATCACTAAGACCCTTCCCTTTGAGAAAAAGGATAAGCGCGTTAGAGTCAAATTCACAGCAGATGACGATGCCAAGCTGAAAGCTTTGTATCAAATCTTCGGCAACAACTGGAATGCAATTGCGACGCAAATGAGATCAAAGAACGCTCGCCAATGCAAGGATCGCTGGACTCTTTATTTGACACCAACACGTAATGATGAGCCATTCACTAACCAAGAAATCAACCAATTGACAGACTTAGTTGAAAAATATGGCCATAAATGGAAAATAATTTCCAAATTCCTTAACAGAACTGATGTTCAGATAAAGAATCTTTGGAAAGTACTTCAACGAAAGAAAAACCTAATCAAGACTACAACCGTAGAAAATCCCCCTGAACCTCAGCCCCAACCAGTCTTCACCCCTCCAGTAAAATCACCAGAGCCAGTAGCAAAGCCTTCATTCAGCACAGGTCCAGATTTCATTAACTCGCTCCTTAATCCAAAACCTATTACCCCTCCAACTCCATTGGATAGCAAATTAACTATCTGCTACCCACAAGCAAATTCATTCCCATCATATTTACACCTCAAGAACTTCTTTAGTTCTTTGATTCCTCAAAATGCGGAATGAAATTCCTAAAATGAATTGTTCATAGCTTTTGGAACGCATAAGCCATGCTTCTCAAATTTTGTATGTTAATAAACTAATCTTGATTTTACTTCATTTCTCGTTTTGTCAATCCAATTATCCGATAAGTTCAGATCCATCGGCATTTGTCTTTTTCCAGTCGGAAATTGCATGTATATTATATATTATATAAATAATTCGGATATAAATTAATTTTGACATTTGATTTCGTAAAATGCTTCAAACACAGCGTTATCAATTTCCCCAGAATACAAATATGAAATATGCTCAGCTACAAGATTTCTAATTTCGAAAATTAAGGGTGACTTCAAAAATAAGGATACAGAAACTTTTTTTCTGAGGCTAAACGCTATTCAATTCTATTCAAAATGTGAGATCACACAGATAAATTATTGTCCGGCTCATAACCTGATCGTTATTTTCGTATTAAATGCTTACTTAAGAGCCTATTCGACCTTTGATGTAAATTAATGCTTGATGCTACCATCTGCCAAGCATGGGAGAACTAATTTATAAATACCCCAATTCATCTGATTTTGTTGTATCATTTTTATTCGTTATTGATGATCGCAATCAATAATATGGTGAGTTTATATGCGTAGTAAGCTGTAATCTCTGATAAATACCTATTATTTGAAATTAAGCATTAATGATCGCTCACATCCTTTCTTAACGTTACCTTAATCATGAAGAAAACAAATAAGCAGCACATGTAAAACACCAGGTATCACATAAAAATAGTTGGCTACTGATTTTCTGTCAAATCCGTTGATTCACCGAATTTAACATAAGATGGTATACAAGAATGGACTATAATGGAGTAATTAACATTTAGGACTGCTATACAATCGGGATAATTGATGTCGATAATTTTCTTCGAAAGAGAATCTTAATTTTATAGTAAATTACAATAACTCATAAAATTTGTAATTATTCTCCAATATTGATACATGTCGATTTCGATAGAAATTTTATTTGAAGAATGAATAAAGATATTATGGAGAATTTTTATTAATTAAGACCATCTGAAAGCTATGCAATAAAAAAAATTCAAATAAAAAGTAAATTATAGAAATGATTGATTTTTTAAGACAAAAGAAATAGAATGTATTAATTATAGTGTGTAAGCGAGTCTCTGGCCTGATAATCCGTACTTGTTTCCGCATGTCTTGCGGTAAATAAAGACAAGAACGAGAATAAGTAAAATTACAGAAACAATGATCAAAGCTTTGATCTTCCATGACATTCCTGTTGAGGTATCGTTTGAAGGAATCAAAGCCCAGCATTCTTCATTATTTGGAATAATTGACTGTGTAATTGCCTTTCCTGTTGTTGGGTTAGCGCAAATGACTTGTGTGAAGAAGGTAGCATCTAATTTGGTTACTGTTGTGACGACATCTCTAAATTGGCAATAAGAGCCTTTGTCATTTTTAACAGCAAAAGATGTCTTCTCGTCAATAAAGCTGACTTGATGGAAAGTAAATTGGTCGGTGATAGTAATAGAATATTTGCCAACGTTACGGATGAAATTAGTTAATTGAGCCATTTGTGGGGAAGATGTAGCCAATGGATAAAGGGCAATGTTAACATCGTTATCAGCTAATGTTGAATATTGAAGAGCGAAGTTATCTCCAATGAAGGTGGCCATTTCTTTGGTATCTTGGTTATTTGTAATATTTGGTGCTTTATATAGAGCTACTGACTTGCAGGAGGCATAAAGAGTGCCAGATCCGTGGCACTTAGTGACCAAAAGCTGGTTGATGTTGAATTCTTTTGTTGCTTCGCACTTAAAAGCAGCCATTGATGTTGTTGCTGTGCAGGATCTGAAGCAGCAGTTGTTGAGGTTGATCTTTTGAGTGGATAATTCGAATGCACCGCCAGTTGTTCCTGAACATGAATCAAATCCGGTCTTTTCAATGGTGAAAGTGGATGTTGCTGGCAATTTTGAGCATTTTATGGCTCCACTTCCAGAAGTTGATGTGCATTTATAGAATGCGCAGCTGGTAATTGTGTATTCAATATCTTCACCAAACGATTCTGTTGATGTGAATACCTTACCAGATCTCTGGATAGAGTCAAGAACAATTGCCGAATTGAGCGAATGAGAAAAGCGTGTTTTTTCAGCAGTTAATGCTTTTCTTGCATATAAAATCGAGGAAAAATGATGGGAAAACATACTCTTACTAATATGGAGATTCATTTGGGTCGATACTAGTGGAGAAACTGAGAACTGATTTGAAGCGCGAAGAGATACAATTGTTAAATTCATTGTGAAGTCATCAACTTAATTCTCTAACCGCGATTTTGTCAAAATTTTATGACATTTATTAGGAAATGATTCAGATCTATATAGCAAATCTGATTTTCGTTCAACTATTCCAACATTGAAAAAAACTGACAGATTTCAAATTTGAACTCATTTCTCTAATTCTTGATGATTTTCTAGAATTATATTTAAAATCGCATGCAAATAAGAAATAAAGTAATATTTATATTGAAACATGCTTATTATTATTTTCCACATTCGAAAATCTGTATTTCAGGATGAAACAAAGCGAATATAGAATAAGCGCATTAAAAGAAATTGAAGAACTCAGACGTGAACATGTGATGCCACTAAAAGGATACTGGATTTGGGCAAACAAAGCCAAAAAACATCAGAAAAGGCAAATCAAGCCAGATTTAAAAAGTCTCATGTAAAAGATCAATTAAATAATTGTTCAAACACACCTAATAACGATCATATTTTTGATCTGAGAAAAAATCCAACAGACTTCAACTATCAAAAATTACATAGTGACAGAGTAGTTATAGATGGAATGAAGTTATAGGAATGCATGCTTGGTTAATGATTACAGCTTAAAGGTTTAATCAAGAAAATTTCCTGTTGAAAGATGAAATAACAAAAATTGGCATTTTTTAATTAAATATTTGAATTGATGAAATTTCACGTGCAAAGCGATGTGGAACAGTTGGTTTAGTTCGTAAGGCTCATAACCTTAAGGTCGCTGGTTCGAGTCCAGTCATCGCTCTTTTTGCATCTTTTAGCTTTCCTTTTATTTTTTTGACCTTTTCTCTGAGTGAAACAAATCTTCATCAACCTGATGATAATATGCCTCATACATACGATCTGATTTAAACCAGTTCTTGCATGAATTTTTTAAAAATGAAGAATGAAATATAAAAATCTCTATTAATAATCAATCACTTTGTTGTTCAATGATGAGAACATATCAATAAAGCATGTAGTTAGTTAGAAAAACAGATAATTATGAAACATTTTATAAATTTTTATAAGAAATAAATAAAAATAACAAAAAATAATAAAACTAATATACAATTTCTATCTAACCTGATGTAAAGTCAATGGTTGGCAGAATTCATGTAAAGTTGTTGCCAATTCGTTCAATTCCAGTTCCAATCTTTCGTCCTGTTTATCGCATTCGACTTTTACACCACTTGGAGATTCAGAATCTATGCAAATGATGACAGATTTTTCCGAAATCTGGAACATAAACATTTGGCTGTCAGGATCGAACTCAATGTCCTTGCTGTACCTCTCTCGTAATGCCTCCTGCAATTTCTGAACGAAGAGATCTTCAGGAGTAGTGTCTGACAACGAAATTTTTTCTCCAGAATCATTATAACACATAATGAGCGAAGTTACGGCATTTGCGAGGTAGTCCAATGTTGGATCAGCGTTCCACTTCAATATTGCTGTCTCTTTGTCCTTGTAAATCAGCATTAATCTTTCCATAATGAGAACCAGCTTCTTTGAGACGACCTGGACCTTGCCGAACTCATTCTGTAGTAATTTCGTATATTCTGATAGTGGTTTGTTGATCGGAACTTCTTGAGACATCGTTGCATTTAGTGTTTTTAGAGTTGTATGCGTAGAAAGTTCAGAAGCGGACATGATCATGTTCTGTCCGTCCTTTCTAACAATGATGCCTGATATATTGTCCTTGTTATCGCTCAAACCGCCGGTAATAATCGCGGATGGGTTAGATTGGAACCACATTGTTGCTTTTTCGCATAATCCAGGCGTATAAACTTCCAAGCCATCTTCAACGAACATCTGTAGAAGCTTCTCCTTGAGCTGCATCATCAAGCCACAAACTCCATGTATCAAAACTATCCTTTTCGGCTTCAATTCGGTGATGAAACGGGAGGTTTGGTTGAAATCTGCATGTCCGGAGAACGAAACATAGTCTATCGAGATCTTTCTCGGAATAATTTTTCCACTTAATGTTGTAATTTCGGCTGGGTTCTTCATAAGCACTTGCGGAAGTGTTCCATCGACAATGTAGCCGGGAATGATCAGTCCGTTGACCGAATTCGAGCACCAGGCCTCAAAAATTTTCCGACTCATTCCATTTTGAAGCATAGCAGGGGAACAGAGGACCACGCAAGGGAGGGAATCATCGAAGTCGTAATCTCTGATGTATTTAACATAAGAAAATTCGAATTTTCCCTTAGCTGTGACAACTCTTGAATTATGATCTTGATAGAAAGCATTGTAAGCCGCAATAGCTTGTTTGGCGAGGTTTGAGCCATAGTAGATGGGAACTCCGTTGTATTCTGGGTGGGATTCCCAATATTCGTCGAGAATAATTAGTAATTCTTGAGCTCTGCCTAAAGCGAAGATCGGGATCAAGCAACGACCACCACGCTTGATGATCTTAGTAACGTTATCGATGAATCTGTATTCTCTGTCGACTCTTGACTCAATTCTTGCTAAACCATGTGTTGATTCCATAATTAGTACATCAGGACGAATAATTTCGCCGGAAAGGCTCTTCGGTATTTCGGCACCTTGAAGATGGCGCTCGTTTTCGAGAGAGAAATCGCCTGTGTAAAGAACTTTGACACCATCAATTTCAACAAGCCACATGCAAGCACCTAGGACGTGTCCTGCAGGGTAGCATGTCATCTTGATACCTTGGTGAGTAACTGTTTGATGATAGTTTACTGCTGTGATCATGTTTTGAACATTTGCAACATCTGCACGTGTAAAAAGATTTGGTTCTTCACTTCCACGGCCTGAAACACCGACATAATCGACAAGAAGTGTTTTTGAAATAGTTTTTGTTGTGTGTGTCATGAAGCAAGGACCGCTGAAATTAGTTTGAGTTAAAAACCATGGAACTGCTGTAATATGATCAATGTGGAAGTGAGTAATAAGCAAAACATCTATTTTTGCAGGATCAATTGCGTCTATAAATGGAAGGCCGCCGAAATTTTCGTAGGCAGGATGAATTCCACAATCGAGCATGACTCTCTTTCTGTGGTATTTGAGAATAATGCAACTACGACCGACTTCTTGGCCGGCTCCTAGCGGCATAACAGTCAGTTTGTCCTCTCCAACTTGTACTTCTTGCATTTTTGTCACTTTTCGGAATTTGGTGTCACATTTTTAATTAGCTCCTGCTGGAGATCAAATAAAAAAAAAACAATGTTACGGACACTTGCTTCCAAACACAATTTTGACCTAATACTCTGGCTACAGGCGATTTTACTATATTACGCATATGTAGAATACATAGTTTGGAGAAAATCGTCTCATACAATTAATTTTTTTCTTGATCAGATTTTTTACTTTCATGTGTGAGATTCCGTTACATTTCCCTATGAAAACATAATGAGTAAGCATTCAATCCACAAACTGACTATTAATGTCAATATAAAATACAATCTTATAGGGTTTATAGAAACCAGTTAGAAAATCCATTTTAAAAGTAAAGAGTGAGGGCTAAATAATAAGATAAATGTTTTTAAATTTTTTGAAAAGTATTGCAATATCCGTAAACTGGATATGCGTTTTCACTGTCATCTATTACATCAGGTTATCCGAGTATTCTATTTTATCTCAATCTTCGCTTTCATCTCTGTATTTCCATTCATGCTCTATTTGTTCTATATTACAGAACTAAATAAGGCCTGTAATGAACCTTGCAATGCACTTAACTAAACGTATATTCAATATTAGTTAAATATATATAAAAACATCATTTAGTAATTAAATATTTTATCTCTTTTATAAAAAAATTGATTTTGATTACTTAAAACACTATAGTTTAAGAATCTAAGCACAAAAAATCGATATCACTCAATGAATATACCTTAGTCCATGAATGAACATATTTCAATAATCTTTTCATTATTTGGTTCTTATGAGAATAAGAATCAAGCACATAATGCTATCATTCTTTTGAGAGCCTTCTATTTTGATCAAAGAGCTCCTCAAGATTGTGTTGTCTCAATAAGAGGAGTTCTTTCTTTGCTTTATTTTTCCTCTAAAATCTTTGCTCAACTCTAGCTTTCAATGAGGCTAGAGTTCCAAGTGACATATGGGAAGAATACTTTGGGAGTCCAAAACAAGACTATATTGATATCGAAAATAACAAAAAACCAACTATTTCTTCAAATTTTTCTTACTTTCTTCAAATTTCAAAGATTTTTCCGACAATATCATTAATTTCACAAAGGATTCTATCAAATTACTTCATTCTATCTGCACATACGTTAATATTAATCGTTCTTCAGGAGATGGTGGTTGCATCTACTTCTCCTGTAACAGTTCCATTGTTCAAGACCGATTCTGTTCATTTAAAATCCACACCCCAGACAAAGGCAAACATTCATATGCAGATGTTCAAACAAATACAAACAAAATTTTCGTAAATTTAAGTTCTATATATCAATGCGGTCCTGATTACACCGGAGTTTCCAGTATATATCATTCAAACGGATTACAAAGTCTAGTTTCTACAAATAACACTCAAACAAAATGTAAAAACTGGGCTGGTTATTGTTTTCAAAATAGTTCAGTTTGTATTAACTTTTGCTGTTTCATTTCTAATGACAATCAAAAAGGAAGTTTTATTTGCATGGCTCATATTTATACACCTGATTCATTTATAAAAAGATCTATATTCAGAAACAACACATGCAAAACTGGTGATTCACATTGGGGTCTTATTGGTTGTGATTATTCACCATCAAATGTTACTGTTTCAGAATGTATTTTCACAAATAACAAAGCAGATCATACATTTGGTACAAGTAGTAGTGCTATTATAACAGTTATTAACTGTACCGGAGATGTTTTGACTGCGGATTATATGTTAAGCGGTTCTGTTTATACAAATAAAATGTCAACTAATTCTTTTGATATTCCACTTTCATTACTTTCATTAGGAAAATGCGAAGCAGAATTCCCATTTTCATTTGAACCTATTTTATTGAGAAGTAAAAAGAAGAAGAAACTCGATTTTGAAGATCTTCTTTCATTTAATTTTTCTCTTGAATGTTTATTTAATTTAACTAGTTCATAAACATTTATTTTTATAATATCTTATATCTATTGGAGCTTATATAGAAACAAAGAGTATTTATAAAAGAAATCCACTCATTTGTGCTTCAGATAAATGTTTTATTTCTATCGGAGCTAATAAAGAAACAAAGGATAATGATGGAAGAACTCCACTCATTATGACATCATGATGGAGTAGTCTTGAAGTTGTTAAATATTTTATCTCTGTTGGAGTCAATAAAGAAGCAAAGGATAAAAATGGAAGAACTCCACTCAATCATGCAAAACATAAAGTTCATCTCTTCAACAGATGTTTTCTCTGTTTTAGATTCACTTTCACAAATCTTCAATTTTCAATTCATTAAAAATCTTAAGACTGCAATACAATCTATTTCAAATCAATCATCTAAAAGCGAAGAACGCATTAATATATTAAAAAACATAAATGTCGAACAAGTTCATTATACTTATGAATTTCAAAAACTCTATGATACTATTGATGAAGCAGCAAAATTTGAAGACAAAACAACCCTCAAATTCGCCATTGATAACAATTATCTAAAAATTAAAGGATTGGATGATCCTTTGAATATTAATGTTTGTACTTATGCAGCAAGCATCCACAATCTATTTTTACTTAAATCTCTTCACAACCTTGGTGCAGAACGTGATGATTTTTCCAGTATTCTTACAGAATTTTGCAGAAATGGAAACCTTCAGGGAGTTAAATTTGCAGTAGAGGATTGCGGTGTAAACATTAATCAAATGAATGTAAGAGCACAACTACCGCTCTATTATGCAGCTAGGAGATTAGATTATAATATTTGCAGTTATCTTTGTTCACTTAAAAATATATTGAAGGTTTGTTTTGATCCGAATACACAAGAGTTTGCCACAATTTATGATTCTATTCCCAAATGGTACAAGTCATTGAATATTCAAGAATTGTTTAAGATGACAGATGAAGAAAAAGAGATTGCGTCCAGACTTTTCCATCTGAAACTTTAGAAGAGCTCGGTGAGCTTGATTTTAGTGGAGTCTATAAATATAGATAACGCAATATGATATGTCTGAAACATATCTCAAGGGAAATAAACATCTTCTAGATTATTAAGCAAATAGCATGCAATTTCAAGGTAAAATTCATATAGTTGGCTATTAATAAAGATAGTTATTAATGAATAAATTTTTGCCAATTCAAAGAATATTAAATTTGAGTTTAATATTAATATAGAGAGAATTGATTTGAAATATAATTACATTATAATCAATGTATTCGAAGCAAATTACTTTTAGATAAAAATAAATAATATATTATCATGACAACAATATCAAAGTTCCCAACATAAACTCTCTCTCTGTATATATATACATAAAGAAAAAAGGAAAAAAAGTATAGTGAAATATAATTTTTTTTTTCGTTTAATAAAAGGGATGTAACGATAAAATATGCAATTGTCAGAACCAAAAAGAGATATTACATCAAATTATGTTCAAAGCTTGGTTGATTATTAACCATATTGAAGTTGAAAAGACCGTAACTAGTATACAACACGATGTAACAATCAGTGCAAGCAAATTTGAACCAATCATCGCAAAATAATTAACGATATCAACAAAAAATAAAATTATTCGGTTATTCGTTCTTTCTTGAAGGATATTCAATCTTGATTTCGTGCTTTGAAGACTGCGAAATCTCAGGATTGCTTGAAGAAGAAGAAACCTCGTTAACATCTGGAACCTTGAACGTAGTTTCAAGTCTGACTGGCTTTTCGATCTTGATTCCACCTGTTTCCAAGACGGCCTTGGCTGTGGTCCTTCTCTCGATCTTAATCGGAGGACGATCATTTGGCATCTCAACTTTGACGTTGTCGAGATTCATCTTGGAGCCGAAGCTCTGTCCGCTCATCCTGAAGCCAGTAGAGGGAGCTGTAGAATATGTAGAATTGCCGAGGTGTTCTGCATAACTTCGGATTTTGACGGCTGGAGCTTCGATTTTGATTTGTGATGTAACGTAAACGTTCTTTGAGATTGTCTTTGTCTTCTTTGGTGGCGGTGGCCTCTTCGATGGACCGTCTTCGGAAAATCCATTTTGGCACCACTCAATAAAGATATTAGGACGATGTGGAGGGACAGGCTGGAGCTTTGGCATGCCAGGAATTGATGACCTAGTGCATGTTTGGCGTAATTTTGCTTCGACTTTGCGCATATAAGCAATTGACTTTGCAACGTCTTCTTTTGCGGATTCTAAGCGTCTTGTAGCAGACTGCTGGTGCTTGACAATCTTCTCTTGAGCCTTTGTAATGTAATCGATTTGATATTTGAGGTCATCGACTATTTCTTGGGTTTTTCCGATTGTATCCTTATTTCCTTCCTCTTCACTGCGGATAATATCCATCAGGACAAGGGATGCGTTCGCAACCTTCTGGATTACTGCTTTTTTATTCAATTTCGGAATGTTCAAGAAATGATCCATTTCTTCGAAGCTGACTTTACCGAAATCAATGTGATTGAAGAGGATTGAGGGGTCTTCTTTCTGCTTGAAATCGAGTAAAGCTTCGAAAAATCGAATAAGATCGCCTTGGTTGTCTGGATGGCAGTCATCATGGGAGAAGATTTGGTCAATGAGCTTCACTGGCAACAAAGCGAATGTCGGAATCTTGACCATTTGGGAAATATTTTGGGCCAAGAATGGGATGTAAGGCAAGACTGATTTGTGCTCTCTGTTAGACTGAATAGCAAGCAAAAGAATGTTTTCTGGTGCGAAAAGGCGTTCTCTTTCTTGCTCCATCAATGTAACGAGATTTTTGATTTGATATTCTTGCGCGATCTTAATAATATCGTCACAGTTTTCTACTGTCGTGTTAAACTCCATACCTTGAATGGCTCTAAGGAATTGGTTGAATGAATCAAATGGATATCCTCCATTTAAACGAAGAGTCTTAGGATTTTCCTTAATCAAACGGCGGAAAACCTTTGACTGAAGAGATATATACTCCTTGTTAACAGGGATCGATTTATTTTGATAGATGATTGTATAAGTCTCTTTTTGATCCATTCTGTCAGTTTTTCATTAAACATGGATTCACTTCATGTGATCGAGATCGTAACTTAAATATTGCTCATTACTGATTAAAAGACTCATACTAAAATTTGAAATGGGTTTCGGAAATGAATAAAATAATTTCTTCAGATTTCTTAAAGGTGACCAAACTATTTTTTGAAAGTCCGCCATAACTTTAATGGTACTATTTCAGCGTGTACAATGAATACAAAAATTCTAAGAGTGCCACATAAAATAGTACTTTAGACTTGAGTTAATGCTACCAAGCAAATGTTAAAAAGATGACTTTAGTGTTTTGATAATCAAAGATTAAAATCATTATTGTCTAAATCAATAATCATAACGACAGAAGTTAATGTTTTTTCATCAGTGCTTTAAATCCACTTTTAAAAGTATACCTCAAAAATCAAAATATCAAAAAAAAATTGGCCGATAGGTTTGGCTTTAATTTTTGTCTGCTTTTATGATTTGATATGGATGTTATAATTTTAAAAGTTGAGCCAAATTCACCAATAGATTTTTGAGATTTGCAAATACTCAATAATTTTCAGCGTGTTATCTTTTATTAAAAGAACTATTTGGTTTCAGTATCATATAAATTGATATTTACTTTCTATTTTAACCTTCATTTAGCTAATGATTTAATAATACAGATTTCATCTAGTCCTTATAAGAGAATTTTGAATTTGTTATAATAAAAAAACAAACAGATATAGCTTACACTTCTATAATAAAGATACCTTTTATAGAAATCAGTATGAAATGTGTTTTGGCTTATTGGAAGCATATCAGACATAATCGCCATAATCAAAAAAATCTATATACCCAATAAGTAATAAATTTGTCGATATAGATTTTCCATAAAATTAGTTTTTAGTCTGATCTTAAAATAAATTTAATTTTTTATAAAAAAAATCACATTTAAAAGTACCTTTTTAGTAGCTCGAAATCCTGTTGGTGGATTTCGGGCGTACTTCAAAATTAGCTTTTCTTCTACATATGCAAGCTATATTTTAAATATGGAGCAAATCGGATCGGGGAAAGGAGTTTAGTTACCTTTGATTTCTTTTGAATCCGTCATAATATTTGCTTGATATTAAAGCCATTAAATACCTTATGCCATCTAATTCTGAATATCGATTACAATTATCAAAAATCAATGTTTTCTCATCGATGTAATGAAATGAAAAAAGGAATCCTCAAATGTTGCCATTTAAATTTAAATCAAGTGATAGATTTAAGTAACACTCTCGCTATTACATAATCTAATAAGGTTTTTAAAATATCGAATTCCTATTCAATGAGATTATATGATACCTTAGCATTTTTATAATTGGAATCCATAATGTATTTGTTTCATTAGCATGAAATGGATAACACTTATTTTTTAAAAATTATTCTTCATAAAAATATGATTATTATGCAATTTATAAAAAAATTAAACAACAATTTTTAATTATTTTGCTGAGATTCAACAAATTGCTGCCATTTCTTAATATTTGAGAACAAAGATTTCTGAATTGGCTCCAAATTCTTCCATTTAGCAACAGCAATCTCCATGAGAGGCAGCATTACGTCTCTTGCTAGAGATAACCGTGACTCTTCAACAGTCTTTGCTACCAATTCCTGGAAAGCCTTATCAGGAGTAATTCCGTAAACAACTTTCTCTTCTTGTAATATTTGTTGTAGCTCCTGTTTCTTTAACTCACCATGTTTCATTGCTATATCGTATGGCCTGCAAACATTTCCGCTGTTTGCAATTTTGAGAATTAATCTCATTTGGTTCAATTTCGAGTGATCACCACTCTTCCACAACTGAATGAAGTCGCTCTCTTTGTAGATACCACTTGAGAGAATCAGTTGTGTAAAGATGTTCCAGAATTTGGCTCTTACATCATCAGGAATTGCATCCAAAATCGCGACACTTTTATTTGTCAATAATTGGATGGCCGCATCTGCTTGAGCTGTTTCTGCAGGTGGCTGGTTCTTGAACAATATTTCAAGAGGTAATTTTGTGCGGATAAGTAAGCCACCGTGTTCTCCTTTATGATTTGTATTATGGAGAAGAGATGCCATCAAAAGAGCGAACAATTCAATTGTATCTAATTGTTTTGAAACTTCTGTTTGTTTCAAAATTACGTAGACATATTGTAAAGTATCCAATGATTGGTCGGAATTATGATACGGCAAATCCTTTCCCATTGTCTGGAAGAGCATCAAGAACTGGAAGAAAGTGATGAACTGGATATTCAACTGATCCAACAGATTGAACGATGTGAAACAGAAAATCATGAACCTCAATTTGAGATTCATTTGAAGACCTCTCATGTAAGCTTGTGGATTTGTCAGTGTTGTTTCTTCTTCTTGTGATAATCTCATTTGTTGCAAAACAACACCGATTTGTTCAGCGGAACTACTGAATAAATCAAAGACAGCATCAGTAGTAATATTCTTGTCTTTGTTCTTGACCTTGGAGATGGAATATCCCGCGAAAGAAGTCATTGCTCCGACCAATCTTTCATCATCTTTTGTGAAAACAAGGCCATCGTAACCAGGTATTTTATTGACAATTTGGATGACTCCCAATATGTTCTTTTCTTCATCCATGATAGGAGCAACCAAGAAAGACTTTGATACGAAAGAAGTCCTTTGATCTTCAGTTGGATCGTATCTAGAATCTTTCGTGACATCAGAGATATTCAACAAAGATTTGTTCTTGCAAACTTCTTTGATGAAGGCAATTTGTGCATTAGTTTTTTCATTCGTCTGATGAATGATTCCTTCTTTGTCATCATCCATCAAGAAAACAGTGCATCTCTCTGCATTGATCAGTTCAATTGCTGATTCAGAGATGTGCTCAAGAATAAGAGGAAGGTATTTTTCACGGCTCATTGACATGGCGAGATTCAAAAGACCTTCGACTCTGTTTTTCATTGTATTTGTGTCATCGAAAAGATTTGCGTTAGACAAAGCAATTCCACAGAAAACGTTGAAAGCCTTCATCAAATCAACATCTCCTGGAGTGAATTGTGTTGCTTCTCCTGTCTTGTTGATCATCTGTGTAACGCCAATGACTTGTTCGGCTCTTCCTATAATAGGAACACACAAAATTGACTTTGTTCTGTAACCTGTTGAAAGATCGACATCTTTGTTAAATCTCGGGTCTTCGTAAGCATCAGGAATGTTTAGAAGCTGTCCAGTAGTTGCGACATGACCTGCAATACCATGAGAGATTGGAAGAACAATTGATCTATTTGTTCCTGATGCAACTTTTGAAAGAAGATATTCTCTGTTTCTATCAGTAGTAAACAAAGAACATCTATCAGCGGAAACAAGTTTTCTTGATCTCAACATGATCATTTCGAACAGTTGGTCTTTGTTGATAACAGAGGAAAGAGACTCAGCTGTTGTAAGCAACTCAATGTAGTGGTCTTGAGCTGTAAGAACTCTCTTCAAGTTCAATACATCAGACCTATATCTCTGGAAATTCGAAAGAGTTCTTGCAATGACAGCTGACAAACTTTCCAAGGAAATTGCATCGTGTTCTGTGAATGTCATTGAGCCTCTTTTACCTCTTGCAACAGCAACACCGAAGATCTCGTGATTTGCAGAGGATTCGTTGATCATTGGTGCTGCAATGACTGGTCTTGATCTGTACTCGTCATCGACGATTTTTGAAAAATGAGGGTGTTGAGAAGCGACAGGAATATTCACGAGATTTCCGTCTTGTGCAACGAAAGCTGCAATGCCACCTTGTGCCAAAGGAAGCCTCTGCTTCTTGCCAACACCGCTACCATAGAATTCTAATGCACCGCGCTGCCAGTTAACAAAGAAAATCTGTGCAACTTCGCAGTTTAAAGCGGATTTTAATGATTGGCAGGCGTTTGAAATTAATGGTCTTTGTTTCAGTTCTGCGCCGGTAGCGGAAGAAAGAATAGCAAGGGTAGAACGAATCCTGGATGCGGATATCTTGAGAGTAGCAAGGAGATGCGGTAATTTTGACTCAGCGTGGTCCATTAATAAAGTATCAAATGCTGTCCAAGCACTTTTGGCTGTAACTGTGACAACTGCAATCAGTTGATGAGTAAGAGGATCAGCAATGGGTGAACAGACAACGCATGTGACGCTTTCGAAGAATTTGGAATCAGATTCAGCGTTGTACCATTCAGATTCCTTTGGATTTGAAAGAATACGACGTTTCTGTCTTTCAGCTGCACGACCGACAATACCTTTGCCTGGCTCGACTCTCCATTTATGAGTTGGAGAGAAAAGCGCTTTAGCCATAGGAACATTGTACCAAATAATAATCTGTTTGCCTACAAATGCTGAAGTGAGCGTATTTTCGAGAGCTGGTATTGATATTTCGACATCTTGTAACTGTCCCATATTTGAAGAAATAGAATCGATAATTGATAGTTTACGCATTTGCTCTGTAAGTTCTGTCAATGCTGCATTAAATAATTCGCCTGGTAATGAAGTAAAATATCGATAAACATCATCTAATGAAAAATTTTCTCCGGAAACAAGTCCTCGAACCAAATAAGGATCATCATTCAATCTAGTAATGATTTCTTGTGGTGTAGGAGGAGCTTGACTGATTCCCATCCTTGATCCTTGTGATCCAGAGAACATAAATTTAGATGATGATAAAGGGAGTAAACCACGAGTACTTGTATCTTGCTCGATACTAAAATCATCTTGTTTTTGCTCCATTTCCATTTTTCTAATGCGATCGAAGATGTTATCATCATCTCCACCGCCGCCACCGCCTCCAAAGCCGCCGAAGGCTGGTCCAGCACCTGCATTGGAGGCAAATATGTTTGAACGTGAGCCGAACATCGGGCTTAGCGCGCTCTTTCGAGGCGAATCACCAGGAAAGTTCGACATAACGTGATTTTTTAATCGTTTTGAATTTATATTGAATTTTGATGGTATATGACAATACTGTAATTTAAGGGGCTACTGCTAAATATATTGCAGTGGAATGCATTCTTCATATGGAATTTTGCTCAATATTCCTTCTAATGTGAATTATTTTATCAAATGCTTAGATATGTTCCCATATTTAGCGATTCATATGATCATACACTCATTACTTCATTTGTATTGATTCACATTCATATTTTACACATCACAAAAGAAATTCACACAATGATATGGAAACTAGGGTCTCCAATTCAGATTAGTTTCAACATTAGAGGACAAAATAATTGGAACATTCTAATACATATAGCTGATATTGTTTTCGATTTTGTCTGCTGGATTTTGTATTCGCAATTTACAGATATATCAATGGGATTGCGCAAAACATTTATCACATTCATTTACTCGTTGGTATAGAAGCAAAATCAATTCTTTTATGATGTGGAAAATATTAGGCGATTTTTCCTATCCCCCAATTATTTTGAAATCTTCCCCCATTTTTGATAACCGGCCGGATGAAAGAAATTGTTCAAATACCAAAAATTCGTAATTGTTTTTAGTCAACAAGACAATATTTCCACAAAACTAATAACATAATTTTTGAAAAAAATCGTCGAATAATAGGTCGGGGTCGGGGGTTTTGTCACTTTTCTCATTTGATGTCAGAGGAAAAGGTAGATTTATTACCTCTTGTTCGCGAAGAGATTCCAAAAATCCTTAAATTAGAATTCAACGAGTCAATCGAAGCATTACATGCATTAGAAAGAAGAACACGTATCGGAAAAGACGATATTGCAAATTGCGAAGTCTGCAGGACAATTGCATCACTTTGCATTGATAGAAAGAGATGGCAAGATCTTTCAAATAACGTTGCAATTCTTTCAAAGAGAAGAGGATACTCTAGAAAAGCTATAACAGATATTGTTGATATGTCTATGGCCTCACTTGATTCCATTAGCGATATTGAAGTCCGCGTATCAGTTGTCCGCTGCCTCCTTGAAGTTACAGAAGGCAAAATCTTCGTAGAAGTACAAAGAGCTCGTCTTACAAAATTAATGGTCGATTACCTCGAAGGCGAGAACAAGTTAGATGAAGCAATGAATCTTCTCCAAGAGCTTCGTCTCGAAGTCCTCACAACAATGGACGAAGCCGAAAGAATGAAGTTAATGCTCCATCAATTCTGGCTTTGCCTTGAAACCCACGACGCTCTTAGATCCCAGTTGAGTGCTGAGAAGATTAAAGATCAGAAATTACCAACAGACGAACTTAAATTAGAATTCCTCGATTATCTCATCAGATATCACACAGAATTCACAAACGACTTCATGGAAATTGCCGATGCATTTTACAAGACATACAAGATCAATAACGATAGCAAGGCATTGATGCATTCCATCATTGCAGCAATTCTTGCTCCAAGAAGTGACAAACAGCTTCAATTCTTTACCGAAGTTTCACAGCTTCGCGACCTTACACTCCTTCCTGATTCAAAGATGCTCCTTTCCATATTCATGGGCAGAGATTTGATTTCATATCCAGATTTTGATAACAGATTCGGCAGTCTTATTGAAGAAGGCCACAAGGACATCATGCGCAGAAGAGTTATAGAGCACGGCCTCCGTACAATTTCGAAATACTACTCGAGAATCAGATTAGAAAGATTGGCCCAGCTTCTTGTCCTCTCAGTCGATGAACTCGAACAGCGTATTATAGATCTGGTGTTCTCTGAGAACTTTTATGCTAGAATTGACCGTCCAAAGGGAATTGTTACCTTCAAGAAGCAGAAGAAGGTTTCGGAAGTCGCTGATGAGTTCTCTGAGAACATTGCAAAGGTATGTAAGCTTGTTGATAAGGCTAACTCTCTGATAGAAAAGGAGAGACAGTGCATCCACAGAACAAAGATATGAGGGTTTTATTTTTTTTTAAATGCTTTTTATATATTTAATAATATTTCAATATATTTTTTATTTTTACTTCTAAATATTTATAACTTACGCCCATCCGACTAAGGATGTCGTTTTGATTTACGTAAAGTGTCAAAAATATTTGTAAAGTATCAAATCAGTATCCTTGAAGATCCTCTCTTTAACATTGTGATTATAGTAATATATGATTTATGTTTATGAAAAGGGGGAACTTCGTCGACAACAAAGGTATCGACCAAAATTGTTCCCATTATGCTTGACATATGAAGTATAGTAATAGTGTGTATGGACTCATAGAATGACTTTCGTTTGATTTCGAGATATTATCATCTTCTAAAATATCCATATGTATTATCGTATTATGAAAAATAATTGACTTTAACCTTAAATAACTAAATCGAAGGTCATGTCATAGGCGGTTAAGTGCACCCATAGCTGGGCATGATTTTTTTTTCAAATCACTCCAAATCACAAAATTAAGGGTGCACATACCACTTTCTGACACGCTCTCATAAAAACATTTTATCTTTATTATAATAACATGAAAGTATAACATCTAAAAAAAGTTTAGTGATTTTTAGGAACTTTTTCCAAACGTACATTTGCGAGACTTCCCGATGATAGATTTTCAAATAAATAGGATAGTTAGAATCAGTAGGTTCCAAATATGAATAATATGATCTTATTTTGAAAAGTTATTAAAACAATAAAAAGATTAGTGAATTATGTTTTAATTTCCATAATTTTTATCAACGTTTTACTTTATTAAAAGTTAATATTTCTTTTTTCCAACCGAAAATATTAAATTTTTACCTTAGAAAATTAGGATATACAGCTTGGGTGTCAAAAAAAATTTGAGAGAATGTCAGAAAATGAAAGTGCTGGTAAAAATATTAATTTTTAAGCCTAAAAGTGTCACAGCCAAAATTTTTTCATAGTATGTCAAGTTCAAAGCAGTTAAAAAATGAAAATTGGTGCAATTACAGTGACATTAAGCCAATTAAAGTATTCGAAAAAAAAAAAAAAAAAAAAAAAAAAAAGGAAGTGGGGCTTCCAGGCACTTCGTGCCTTCTAGCCCTGAGGATGTTTTGTCAAGACTTCTTCATCGTAAATGTTTTGTCAAGACTTCTTCATCGTAAATGTTTTGTCAAGACTTCTTCATCGTAAATGTTTTGTCAAGACTTCTTCATCGTAAATGTTTTGTCAAGACTTCTTCTTCGTAAATGTTTTGTCAAGATTTCTTCGTAAATGTTTTGTCAAGACTTCTTCGTAAATGTTTTGTCAAGACTTCTTCATCGTAAATGTTTTGTCAAGATTTCTTCGTAAAGACTTTGTTAAGACTTCTTCGTAAAGACTTTGTTAAGATTTCTTCATAAATGAGTGTAAATGACCCAAAAATATATTTTATGTTAGAATGTTAGATCTAACATGTTTTCTAACATGTTTTCTAACATCGTAGAAAACTCATGATTTCATCGTAAATGTTTTGTCAAGACTTCTTCATCGTAAATGTTTTGTCAAGATTTCTTCGTAAAGACTTTGTTAAGACTTCTTCGTAAATGTTTTGTCAAGACTTCTTCGTAAATGTTTTGTCAAGACTTCTTCGTAAAATCAGACAAAAATATATTTTATGTTAGAATGTTAGATCTAACATGTTTTCTAACATGTTTTCTAACATCGTAGAAAACTCATGATTTCTTCGTAAATGTTTTGTCAAGACTTCTTCTTCGTAAATGTTTTGTCAAGACTTCTTCGTAAAATCAGACAAAAATATATTTTATGTTAGAATGTTAGATCTAACATGTTTTCTAACATGTTTTCTAACATCGTAGAAAACTCATGATTTCATCGTAAATGTTTTGTCAAGACTTCTTCATCGTAAATGTTTTGTCAAGATTTCTTCGTAAATGTTTTGTCAAGACTTCTTCTTCGTAAATGTTTTGTCAAGACTTCTTCGTAATGAGCGTAAATGACCCAAAAATATATTTTATGTTAGAATGTTAGATCTAACATGTTTTCTAACATGTTTTCTAACATCGTAGAAAACTCATGATTTCATCGTAAATGTTTTGTCAAGACTTCTTCATCGTAAATGTTTTGTCAAGACTTCTTCGTAATGAGCGTAAATGACCCAAAAATAATGTTTATGTTAGAATGTTAGATCTAACCTCTTTTCTAACCTCTTTTCTAACCTCATGAATTTTCATGAACTTTCTTTACAAAGTCTTTACGATGAAGAACTTTACAAAGTCTCAACAAAACATTGACAAGAAAGTTCATGAGAAAGACTTTACAAAGTCTTTACGATGAAGAACTTTACGAAGAAATCTCAACAAAGTCTTTACGAAGAAGTCTTGACAAAACATTTACGATGAAATCATGAAAATTCAAGAGGGTAGAAAAGAGGTTAGAAAAGAGGTTAGATCTAACATTCTAACATAAAATATATTTTTGCTGAATTCCGTATGAAATTTCATGAGTTTTGTATGTTTTAGACCATGTTAGAAAACATGTTAGAAAACATGTTAGATCTAACATTCTAACATAAAATATATTTTTATTGAATTCCGTATGAAATTTCATGAATTTTGTATGTTTTAGACCATGTTAGAAAACATGTTAGAAAACATGTTAGATCTAACATTCTAACATAAAATATATTTTTGGGTCATTTACGCTCATTTACGAAGAAATCTTGACAAAGTCTTTACGAAGAAATCTCAATAAAGAAATTTTACTAGTAAGTAAATGTGGTTTGAAATAGGACTACTTGTTTTAGGTTTTTTCCATTGTGTCATTTACTTATTTGACGTGGCAGAAAGATATAGAGAATATGAAGATGAACCAATGCCTGCAAATGTTCAGCATATGTACTCGTAAGAGATATTTTTATCTAATATTAAATGGACGCACAGAACTTAGCGAATGCACAGCAACCTGGACAACCAAACCCAGAGAATATTCCAAATGAAGTTAGAATACAAACTGCAATGGCAAACTATGGTCAAGTGCCAACAGATGTACAAATGCAAACTGCCATGTCAAATGACGCTGCGTTAGGCTTACCACCATGGTATGCAAATATGAGATGGAAAGAGTTTTATACAAACCCTGAAGTGGGATATAAACAACTCTATGCAGATGACGCGAACACAGGAGTTGACCCAGAGTATGTTTTCTACCAGAGGAGAAACAGAATGTATGAGCTCCAGTTAAAGAATGCTATGGAACTCAGAAGGAAACGTAAGAGACTAGGCGGACATTAGATTTTTACATATAGTAAAATGGGTTTCTTCAGTAAGATAGGAAACTTCTTTCGAAATGTTGGAAGAGGTATATGGAATGGAATAAAATCTGTCGGAAGAGGAATTTGGAACGGAGTCAAAAATATTGGCAAAAGAGTAGGTCAGTTCGTTGGTATTATACCTAAAGACCCTGAACCAGAAGAACAAGCTCCTGTTATACAACAGCCTGAACCTGCACCACAGTCTAGTTGGCAACCAAATCCAACACCTCAACCGTATTAAAAAGTTATATTTTTACCGTTCGATAGTAGTTGTATATGAAACTAAGTTCTAAGTAAAACGCATGGTATAATGGAACTATTCTTTTTCTTCCATCTGTAGTAAACCATACTTGAAAATCCGAAATACTTCCACTCGGTGGTTCATATAGCTTTGTAGGTTTTTCGTAAAAGTCATTTGCCAAGCATAAAAAAGAGTTTTGTGCACCAGAAAATGAAGCATGAACTATAATAGCATCTGAGTCGAAAACATTTTCATATGTTCCATTAGGGTTTTCGACTTCATAAAAGTTCGGGTGTACTGGATATTCTGCAGGCTGATTTAACATCCTCAAAAATCTATACCATGCCAAGTTGTTATATTTTGTAGAAATATAAACGTCTTCTCCAAGGTCTTCTATTCTATTGAATTTAACAGTTGCATTTTTCCTGTCATATAAAATATCGAGATGGTACTCTCCTTCGTCAATGTTAAACTGGTTTGCATATTCGAGATAGATATCGTTTATTTTTTCTTGAAAAGCTTGAAGAGTTTTTCTAAGTTTACAAGCAAATTCACTTGTAAAAGTTTTCCCTGTTCAAATTTCTCATACGTACGTTTTTCTTTGTTATAGTATCGAACTTCAAAAGCGACCGTAAATGGGAAACCATGTATGGCTTCTGAAATGAACTTCATTCTACGAAAGCCAATAGCTTTTGTGACAGATGGGTCTCTTAGCCATCTTAATGGGTAGTCAAAACGATAGCCTTCATGCTTTACGGTCTCTGTCTCAAACTTTTGACCGACATTAGTAAAAAGTTCATCTAATGGTTTAGTTGTAGCAACTCTTGAATTTTCTTTTTCTATTGGAAGCATATTTTATCTAGAATAAAAATGTCAAATGAAACAGCGTCTATGAGAGAAATACAACACAACCGACAACTCATTATGCAAGCTCTAAATAAGAACACAACAAACTTTTCAAACTATTCTAAGATATCTGAGTCATTGAAAGAAGGAAACTTAAAACTGACATTAAACCCAATGACAGATGAGTTTCTGTTTCAAGACAATAAGAACCATACTGTCTGTATAAATCCAACAAAAGGAACTTTAAACGAGAAACCTATAAATGAACTTCTTTTGAAAACAGATGTTGACAACAAAGCTGACAAAGAATATGTAGACGATGCAATAGCAAAAGAAGAAGAAAGAGCTAACAATGCTTATGCAACAAAAGAACATACTCATCCTGAACTAGCAGACAAAACATATGTTGACAATAAAATGTCAAGTGAAGTGACAAGAGCTGACAAAGAATATTCTAAAAAGACTCATACACATACCATTGCAAATATTACAAACTTACAAGAAACCTTAAACAGGAAAAGTGACGTTGGACATACACACGATTTCTTCGCAACTGTTGGTATAGAAAATATTGCAGGAACGGTTGAAGAACCTGATGGAACTGGTGGG